ATCAACACTTTCTTGCAGGATGAAACCTTTGTTTTCATTACATTTGAACTACATCTGTTTTTACAGGGCTGGAATACTTGTCTACAGGTTACTCAGGTTTCCAGGGTACATGGGTCCTACAGCAGGAAACATCAGAAAGACAAACCATACACATCTATGACAAAGCTATTCAGAATATTAAATCATTTCCATGGCACTGACTATTGCTCAGTAAGGTATGGTCAATCATTAAAAAACAGAGAGAACACACCACCTGGCTAAAGCAGACCTTCCTTAGCCACCGTAGACACTGTGTCTCTGTATTATTAGCACCAGTGGCCTCTGTAGCCTGGGGAGCTACAGGGATCCAAAGCTCAGATGGGAGACAGGGTGCATATAGCAACTGTTGCCTGGGTGCTTCAGCACTAGCAGCCCAATGGCACACACGCAAAGAGAAAGCCACTGTTGAAAAAATCTCACATGACACTTGGACCAGCATTTGCTAGAAGGCATGTGAGAGACTGAAACAAAGGAGAAGGAGGCTCTGCAGTCTGTTGAGTTTTATGGCCTCTATGCATAAAATACACCAGCACAAAGACACCATTATAGAGCTGGAACAAATAAACAACCTGCACAAAGAAGAAATAAACATTCTGACCTGGGAGGAAATTTGCAAGTGAATACAGACTTTGCAACAAAACAAAATTATTGTGTGTTTAGACAGCCATGATGTTTCTGAAGTTTCAGGTTTTTGTGTTTGAGTAAATAAACAACATAAGTTCACAACCCTGGATCAGCTGTCATCCTGGTTTTGAAAATCGGGAAAATGTTAGTTGGAGTGCTGTCAAAAAAGTCTTCACACTGTGGTATTTAGGGCTACAGCTAATCATTGCTTTCATTAACAGTTAATTAGACAATTACTTTCTTAATTACATAAAACAAAAAGTTAAAAATGTTACAGCCAGATCTGACAATAACAAAAACACTATGAAGTTTCAGATTTAGGAAGCTGGAACTATCCTGTGTTTGTCATTCTTATTCAGGAAATGGCTGATATAATCAATATAACTGTGAAGAACGATCTGTATGCATCCTGTCCAGGTTTCTGGATGCTACCTGTAGAGGAACCAAGTGACGAGTGGAAAAGCCGAACTGTTTCTATGTGTACTTGAGCGGTTACAGAATGCTGGCTTCCCAACATGTACACATGTACACTGGAACAAGTTAAGCCAACAGCTTAACTTCATTGCCATTCATTTAGGGTTAGCAGTTACCATCAACCGGGCAAACTGCATGCAGTAATCAGTAACCAGGGGACCAATATCTATCACACATACAAGCATATGCAGAACCAGAACAGTTTCATGTCAACTTCACATCAGGAATTTAATTAGAACTGCAACAAATCATGTCCTATAAACACACTCACGGTGGATGGTGAGGTGAGGTCGCAAACAGGGTTGGGCCTAAGTTTCCATTTGCTAAGTAGGCTTCATTTAGATTCGGCTTATCAAGTCCTGAACACTTTTCATTCATGCTGGTGTATGAATAGTTGTTACTGTGTATAAAGCAGCGCTGATGTGTGTGCAGTGGCAGTGTGGGAGTGATGAGGTAGCCCTGGTTAGCCCTGGTTAGCCCTGGTTGGCCCTGGTTAGCCCTGAGTTAGCCCTGGTTAGCCTCAAAGCTAACAAAGGCTTTGGCCCAAGAGAAGTTCTCTCTGCTTCCTGAAAACAGTCTGGACAACAGAGCAAAGTCCAACAGAGTACTGAACCTACTGAATATCTGCTGTTTCCTGTCTGTTATCCTGCTCAGTCGTTACTGAGCTGCATACAGGAGGATACAGGAGGATGCTGTGGTAACATATGAACAGAAACTGTTTGTCTCTTCTTTGACAGTGAACACAACACGCAGACTTTCACTAACTATACTGCATATCAGGGCTCATTGCTGCCAATTGAAGTAACTTTACTCATTAAACTAACATTTCCGTCTTTATAGCATCATTTCAGTGCAACTGCAGCAATGTGCTGCTGCTGCTTCTAGTACACACCAGGAGAGACTCACTTCACACATCAGACCTAGTAGTCTACATCACCACCTCCATGAAAGGAGATTTACGGTCAGACTGTGGCTGTGAATCCTCGCTGCTTTAATTCAGTGTTTGTTTCCCTTTGTAGTCAGAAATAGGTTGTGAAGGAGAAAATACTGAGATCCATTACTCAAATAAAAGTACTACTACCACACTGTAAAAGTCATACAGTGAAGATGTTACTTAAAGTAAAAGTATCTCAATACAATCAGGAAAATGTACTATGGTAGTAAAAAGAAAGCAAAAGAATGTCTCAGGTGCTGGTTATACATAGCACAGTATGTTACATTATTATTATACATGCATTATTGTTGGAGCTGAACTTTACTGTTGACGAAATTCTGGCCAAATGCAACTCTAAGAAGCAGAATCATAAAGAACTAGAATCAGAATTGTTAAAATAAAAATGACAGCCAACCCTGGTCTCACATGACTCCATCAGTATCTGTTCACACAATGTAAAGGCCATATTAAGTTACATGTGGTTCATAGCATAGGTTGTATATGGCAACAAATGGCACAACAAGACTTACATTCACTGGAGATTATGATGGAGAACTTGGTCCCCTAAAAACACAGCTGTTCTACTGTGGGAGTACTACCAAGTACTATGTCTGAAATCAATTCTATGCAGTACCCAGAAACGTTTATGTTAAACATCCCAGTCTGACAGAGTTTTAGAAAAACTCAAAACAAACTTGGGAGTTTTTTCTTGAAAACAAGGTATTTGAATAAAAAAATATGAACTCAAGGGGAACTCCCTAGCTTTGCTGCAGACCTTTTATAACATGTTATGGTCCTCAAGGTAACGCTTTGCTGTCATGGAGAATGTCTCAATGGCAAGTAAGCACAAACAAAATCTATAACACAACTGCTGCTGATAAAAAACACTGTAAGATGCTCTTAAAACCTAAAAAAAAAATAGTCGCTTGATTTTTTGTTTATTTAGCTAGGTCATTATCGTCACACACCTGGAGCTATTCTAAGTGCACCCTTGGACACAGTTGAAGGATTGTGCTCTGAAATACATGAGGTGATAACTGCATGCTACATACAAACTTAAATTGGGTTTTATGTGTGCAGTATATTTACCATGGAACATGTACAAAGAAAAAAACAAAGAATACTTAAAAATTCCTGCATGTAGGCTGAATTTTTAAGTGTCGATTGAGCTACTGTCCTACACTACACTAGAGTCAACAGCACCACCAGCATGTGTGAAATAAGCGTATTACCACATCAGCCCCAGCAGCCTCTGTTTTTTTAAAACAAACATGTTGTTGACAACAATCATGTGGTCACTGCACTAAGCAATTTATGAAACGGAATCCTCCAAGCGGACTTATACTTCTATAAAACTAGGACAACAACTAAACCGATGCATATCTGCAGATGCCCATGTGTGCATCCACAAACGAGTACAACTATGACTCAAGTATGAGCAGAAAAGTATATTATGATACTAAACATAGAAAAAATGTCTCCTGTCATTGTTATAGAGTATGTTATATTATTTGAGTATTACTGATTACATAGGTCATATCTGGCTGCCCCACTCAGTCTCAGAGTTATTAAAATACAGACGATACCCAACCCAAGATATAACCAGCGTTTTTTGCAAAAACTGAACCACAACTATAAAACAGCAGTAAGCATCACAGCTGGCATTTCATATTTTATTTGAAAATGACATAAGGGCTTAGTGTTGTTGAGCACAGTTTTTGCAAGTTATTACACAGTCTTAAGCCAAAATATGCATCAAGCCCGCACTTCAATAAAATCTGCATAGCAAGTCTGTACAATCAAGTGAAACAATGATATTGAACATGAGCTAATCACTACCAATTTTAAAGCTCAATATTTTTAAACCACTCAGCACACCCACAGAACCCTGAAAATCCAAAGTGATGCAGCACATACATGTATGGTTTGTGCTCATAACTGCAAGGTCATCAAGCACTCTTTACACCAGATGATTAAAAATAATTAGACTGAAATGTGACGCTCTCCAGTGAAAAGCAGAAGGTTTGTCCAAACGGCCGCTGTAGAACCTCTTTCAAGGTGGCTTTTGAGGAAGAAAGTAGTGCCTGCTCCATGGTAGGTAGTTTTGAGCAGCCCTGAAAAACTGCTATGTGGGGCTCAATGCTGATTGGTAGATCTTGGAGATAACCAGAAGCACCATGTTTCTGCCCTCTTCATCTTCACCATTAGCAATGAAAAATGATCCCTGGGCTAACAAAACAAACCTTGCTTCCAACTTGCTCATAGAACTGAACTTCCATTCAATAAGTACTATTTGTTGTTGTTTTGTGTGATTGGACTAAATGTTGTGGTCAAAGCTGTTGAATCTACACCCCAAAAGAAGCGAAAAGGGCAGATTACAGTGTCTGAACCTGTAACACCTGTACGCAAATCATAGTGTGTGACATCGACAAATATCTTAATGTCCACAAGAATTCTCACCTTGACTCTTTAGTGTAGTTTTCAGTGTTTTCTAGCTGGTTTGAGTTTTTCTACTGTTGTTCCCATCTCTCTATGGTCACTTGGAGTCTCTGTGTAGTGATTTTGCATGTTCTGTGGTTTTATCTGGCTGTTCAGAGCCTCTTTGGGGTTGTTTTGTGTCTTAATTTGGTCATTTAGCATACGACTGTGGTTGTTTTGCATTGCTTTGGAGCCCATTGATTAACTTTTCAACAAGAAATGTAATCAGTCACTTGGTGTTTAAGGCTCTGGTCCAAGGGCTCCATACACTCTGCCAATACTCTTTCCATGTTACACTGGGACACATTCAGACTTAACCCCTGAGTTCTGTTAGTTCATCTATGCTTTCTTGACTTACGGGCATGGCTCTGGTGAGGACGTTAGTATTTTCAGGGTCTCCCTGCTGGTGGAGGAGCCCACAGCTGTTGGTGCACCGTGGTGTGGAGCCTACCTGATTTTGTAGTTCGGTAAGGTGTGCTTCTTCTTGATGACCCGTTTCAGCTGGTTGACGATGATGGAGGTGAGTTGAGGAAGCGGCCTTCCTTCGAACTGGGACTTCACCTCAAAGTCCACCAGCGGGTCCTCCAGGAAGGAGAAGGACCAATGGGAGAAGGGCATGCGCGTGAACTGCAGCCTGAGCCGGCCCACCACGCGCCTCATCTTGACGAACAGGTAGGCAGACTTCCCGAACACCAGCTCCACGTCGATGGCCAGGTGGAAGCCGCCATTGTATTCGAGGTCCACCTCAAAGTTGAGCTCCTCGGGCATGCCGTCCTCGTTCAAATGCGCCGGCTTCAGAGGTCTGGCCGTCTTAAAGACGGGCAGAGAATTGCCCAGGGAGATATCTCTGAGACTGAGTCCCTCCAGGAGCCGACCCGCCGTCTTGGTCTGCAGCAGCTCCTCAAATTCCACCTTAATCTTTTTGGTGAGCCAGTGTCTGACGACAGGGGTGTCTCGGAGCTCCCTGAACAAGAACAGAAAGATAGCATTTAGGAAATTGCACGTCTCGGCTTTGGCCGCATCACTGGGCTCGCTTTGAGAAGGCGGTGGCGGCTGTTGTTTGGGGCTGCCGCCGCTGACAGCCGCCTCCTGCTGCCTGCCGGACACGGCCTCTTGCTGTTTGGATGCAGCAGATGGTGTGCTGTCCTGTTGCTGCTGGCCTGCTTCTGCATGTTGGGTATTAAAGTAATCCTTCAACGCGTTATCAGGCACTACTTTGACATACTGCACTGTCCTGCCTACGGGCTCGGGGCTCCTCCGGTATATCAGCAGGAACTGTAATATCAACGTAAGGACTGCTCCGGAGAACGCGGAAATCAGTATTAAGTAAATCATTTCGAGCAGCTGCCCTGACGCCGTCTCGGACTCAATGTGTCTTCATAACCAAACGTTTAGCCGCGGTAACAAAGCAAGTTCCACCTGGTCGCTCTCAAAGCTGCCATATCATCTGCTTCTTTCCTGAGCTTTAGACTCCTCACCTGATTGGACGAACGGCTTACGTCGCCGTGCGTAATGACGGAGACAGAATGTGTTTCTTTTGATGCGTTCAATGCGTGTCGGATTTTACACCTGCCCACTAAGAAAACCAGTCTAAATTGACCTTTGCATTTAAATTCGCGACTGAATGTTGTTGACTTTGTGTTTACTTTCTCCTGCAGTTTGTGCTTTGTTCTCTCTTGGGTATTTCTGACTCTGGAGCTGTACAGGTCTGACCTGCAGTCTACTGTACCAAACAGTCTGTCTGGTGTTTCTGATCTATTGTTTGTTTGTTTCTCCATTATGGTTTCCCTTCCCTTTGCCCTCACCCCAACTGGTTGAGGCAGATGTTTGTTCTCCGTAGTTGTCGGAGTTGTCTTCCTCTTAAAAGGACGTGTTTCCTCTTCACCATAGCAAATATACATAAGAAAAAAAAGAGCATTAGAGGGAGAAAAAAAATCCTGGGAATCCTTGAATTTATTTGTTTCATGTATATTTAACAATGCTATAGGGTATTAGCCTTAATATTTCCTAATACAGTCACTTCAAGTTGTAATTTCTACAGTTTCTGTGGGGTTTTAATCCTTTTCACTCAGACAAATTCACATTCTAAATTACACTGCCTCAATATTTAAACTTGTTAGTCTAGTTAGTCATTTATCTTATTTCTCTATTGGAAAACACTCAACTGCTGTTTCTTCAACTGTGCCATATGGATAACAGTGACTTGACTTGACATTGGACAGGAATGAACAGGACACATGATCCATTATCAAAAACAGACTTGTCTGGTTTTAAACAGTCTAAAATAATCCAGCTCATTTAAAAGACATGTTTTTATGTGGTGTTTTGTTGTTTTTGCTTTGTTTTGGGGGGGTTGATGATACACAGTGCTGAGGACATATTACAGGTACAACAAATTCCGATTACTACTACATGCATAGTTATTTAGTAATGAGCTGTTCCTTATTATCTGACCATATAACTTAGATATCATAGTTCCATTAATGAGAAACTTCTCATTATTATACAATAGCACATGCTGTCATTAAGAAGGATGCAACTGTTGATGGCCTTTTTTAATGGATGCAACCACTTTATTACTGAATTATGTGCATAGTCAGTATTTGATGCAGTGTACAAGATTTACCCTTAAGCCTTAATTTGGCAGAGAACTCTAAATCTGAAAAAAATGCATTCCACATCGATATGCTGTGAGTAAAAGACCTGGTGTTTCAACATTTCCTCAACAGCTTATTCACCTGCAGTGAAACATATTGATTTGTGAGTACCGTATCCCTCTGTGCAGCGGTCAGCACTGCGGCGTCACAGCTAACGAGGTTTCAGGTTCAAACTGCGGTTTGTGTGGAGCTTTTCTATGTGAATTTAGCATGTTATCCCTGTTTGCGCATGGGACCTTTCCTGTAGTCCGAAGACTTGCATGGGAGGTTAATTTGTGAATCTAAATTGGTTGTAGGTGAGAGTGTGCACATGCGTCTGTTTCTTTGGTTTAGCGCTGCATTGGACTGGTGATCTGTCTGGAAGTACCTGCCTCTCACTCAGTGTTAGCTGGAAAGACTCCAGACCCCCATGACCCTCCTTTGGATAAAGCAGGTATAGCTACTGGATGGATAGTGTCCCTCCACAGCATGAACATCATCAACATAGCAATTGAATAGGCATATGTTCAGACCCTCTTACACCCCATCTAGAGAAAAGGATGCCTCTTATCCACCGCTCTAGAATTTTACCAGGAGACACTGACCCCCATAGGGAATAGTCTGAGCCCTGAACTGCGGTTGTGTGAAAGAATAATTGCAAAGGCGAAGACAAAGCAGTTAATCACATCACAGAGGACATCATTGATCAGGTTCTGGAAGATAGCTTTTGTCAAACCAAAGGCTGGTTTCCATTCATCTCCTTTTTTATAACATACAAGGTGACATGCATTATACAGGTCCAGTCTGGAGAAGATGGAGGCTGTTTGAAGGGGGGTGAAAGCAGAACAGATCAAGAAATCAGGCACACAAGCATATATCAGAAAACTAGAACTTGGCCTGGACTGAACTGACTGGTGTCTAGCTCAGCAAAGTGGCACTGAATGATGGTGTGAGCCAGGCCTTTATGGAGCATAGTGCTGATTGAAGTCAGGTGGGGAGACCTGCTGCACAGATGTCCTCGCTCCTGATCACTAGACTAGACACACAATCACATTGACAGAGAGGAAGAGGAAAGGGGAAGGACAGGCCAGAGTGCTGATACTCACATTGCACACATTTGTTAAATATAAAAAAAGACATCTCCACAGTCTCTTCTACAACCTGCCACACTGAACAGAATTGTAAGTAAATACACTGCTCAAAGAAATAACGGGAACAGTAAAATAACACATCCTAGATCTCAATGAATGAAATATTCCAGTTGAGAATTTTTGTTCATTACATAGTGGAATGCATTGAGAACAAAATAACATAAAAATGATCAATGTAAATCAAAGTTATTGTCCCATGGAGGTCTGGATTTGGAATCATAATCAAAACAAAAGTGGAAAATCACATTACAGGCTGATCCAACTTCAGTGGAAATTCCTCAAGACAAGTCAAAATGAGGTTCAGTAGTGTGTGTGGCCTCCACATGCCTGTATGACCTCCCAACAACGCATGGGCATGCTCCTGATGAGGCGGTGGATGTTCTCCTGAAGGATCTCCTCCCAGACCTGGATTAAAGCATCAGTCAACTCCTGGACAGTCTGTGGTGGATGGAACAAGACATGATGTCCCAGATGTGCTCAGTTGGATTCAGGTCTGGGGAATGGGCAGGCCAGTCCATAGCATCAATGCCTTCATCATGCAGGAACTGCTGACACACTTCAGCCACATGAGGCCGAACATAGCCACGCATCAGAAGGAACCCAGGGCCCACTGCACCAGCATATGGTCTCACAATGGGTCTGAAGATCTCATCCCGGTACCTGATGGCAGTCAGGGTACCTCTGTCCAGCCCATGGAGGGCTGTGCGGCCCTCCAAAGAAATGCCTCCCCACACAATTACTGACCCACCGCCAAACCAGTCATGCTGGAGGATGCTGCAGGCAGCAGAACGTTCTCCACGGCGTCTCCAGACTCTGTCACATGTGTTCAGTGTGAACCTGCTCTCATCCGTGAAGAGCACAGGGTGCCAATGGCCAATCTTGGTGTTCTCTGGCAAATGCCAATCTCCCTGCATGGTGTTGGGCTGTAAGCACAAGCCCCACTTGTGGATGTCAGGCCCGTCATACCACCCTCATGGAGTCTGTTTCTGACAGTTTGAGCAGAAACATGCATATTAGTGGTCTGCTGGAGGTCATTCTGCAGGGCTCTGGCAGTGCTCCTCCTGTTTCTCCTGCACAAAGGAGGAGGTAGCGGTCCTGCTGCTGGGTTGTTGCCCTCCTACGTCCCCCTCCACGTCTCCTGGTTTACTGGCCTGTCTCCTGGTATCTCCTCCAGGCTCTGGACACTGTGCTGAGAGACACAGCAAACCTTTTTGCCATTGATGCGCCATCCTGGATGAGCTGCACTACCTCAGCAACTTCTGTGGGTTGTAGACACCACCTCATGCTTCCTCTAGGGGTGAGAGCACTGCCAAAATGCAAAAGTGACCAAAATATCAGCCAGAAAAGATGAGAACAGAGACATGGTCTGTGGTCACTACCTGCAGAACCACTCCTTTATGGGGGTTGTTCTGCTACCTGCCTCTCATTTCCACCTGTTGTCTGTTTCATTTGCACAACAGCAGGTGAAACTGATTCACAGTCAGTGTTGCTTCCTAACTGGACAGGTTGATTTCACAGAAGTGTGACTGACTTGGCGTTACATTGTGTTGTTTACGTGTTCCCTTTATTCTTTTGAGCAGTGTACATACTAGAAGTTGTCATAAACACTGTTCTGCTCATCTGACAGAGTTCCTAAAATACAGTGGTGGGTTATGATGGAATAATGGACAGATGATGCAGCGTCATATTTAACTGATGTCGCTTTAAAACAACAGCACCAAGGCGAGGATGTCTCAATTTGTTTAATAATTCCTCGTCACTTCCTCTGCTCACATCTCTGGAGGGAGAGACTACAACATGAGGACAGGAGTCGAGGAGAGGAATCCAGCATGTGAAATCAATGCAATAAGATGAGGGGCTTGCATTTTCTACATGTTGCGTTTCAGTGACAGTCCAGCAGAGGGCTCTACTCTCTAGCTTTCTCTTGTTTTCTTGTTGAAGCTGTTGTCTGTTGCCTTCCCTTCCTTAGTGCATGCAGGTCCCTCTCCTTCAGAGGGGATTACATTGACTTACATTTGTTTCTTGGTAACTTACCCAAACCTTAGCCACTACCTACCTAAACCCAACCTCACCCTAACCTTAAACCAAGTCTTTACCTTAACATGTAATGCTTTATGTTATGGGGATTCATCTTTATGCTAAGAAAAGGGAGACGGGACCCACAATGTGACAGGGCATAGTAAACAGAATAGAACCATCACAACGCACACACATGCACACACAATCAAAGTATTCTGACACCTTCACTTTCTGCATACTTTGTTGCGCTGTAGATTTCACATATTTAATATTTCCCCATCAATCTACACCCAGTAACCCATAGTGACAAAGTGAAACTTGTTTTTAGACATTTGTGCAAATTATTAGCAATTTAAAAAAAAAAAGTTAGATCTTTCATTTTCACAGTTATACAGACCCTTATTTCAATATTTTGAAAAAATGGCTTGGACAGCAGCTATAGCTACCGGTCTTGTTGGGTAAGTCTCTACAGGCTTTGCATACATGGATTTTGGCAGTTTATGCCATTCTTCCTGGAGAATCTTCTCAGGCTCTGCCCAGTTGAATGGGAAGTGCTGAGATGTTTGTCTACCAGAAAGTTCTCTGATCTCTGTAAAGGACATCTGAAGGTCTGAAGCTTTGTTGGAATAATAATTTCCTAAATAATCTGGTCAATGTAGTTTCTAAACACTGTCTCAAACTGGAGCTAACAGTTCATCCGTCAGGGTCTATTTTTAACAGCAGGATGGTAAATGTGAGATTGAGTGCCAGTGTTCTTGGTGATGAAAGAATGTCACCTGTTGCATCAGTGTGGCTCACTACTTGTTTTTGTTTTATTTTTATTTTTACTGAATAAGCTTTTTATGAGGAATAAAGAACTAATAAAAAATAGGAAAATTTTATTCTGATTTAATGTCAGACAGTGAGAGAATTGTTTATTTTTTAAAATCTTTTTATACAGTGTATGTAAACTTCTGGTTTCAATGGTATGAGTTCTTTGAGGAGTGGTTTACCAGCTGGCTTGAAATAAGCCAGGAAATGTCCCAACAAGTTACTGATTACAGAGCACACACAGAAACCAATGGAGCACATTTTACAAAATTTTTAAAACTTTTAAAAATTAAAAAAAAAACATTGGAAGTGAAGCAGGCCCTTTTAGTACAATAAATTGCTCATTCGTTGCTATCCAATAATTCACACTCACCTCTTAGTTACTTTCAGACTTGCCTCCCCGTTTTCTTTGTGTTTCCTTTCTTATCTGGCCTTTTTACTTTCAACGTTTTGCATTACTCATGTATTTGACTTATTTGATTGGTAAACATGTTCATGTCCCTTTGAATAATGCAACTCCTCTAATTGTACTAACTATTGGATAAAAGAGGGCCAGAAAAGCACAAACAACAGACAATTCTGTATATTCATGAAGGTATCACACAGAAATGTAACCACAAAGTGACAGGAAGGCACCTGTTTGGTGTCGAGGCATCTTGCAGCTGAGTCACTACGACTCAAAACCTCCAGATCTAACCACAAGAGCAAGGTGGTATTGTTTCAGCTCATCTGTGTATGTGTGTGTGTGTGTGTGTGTGTCTGTGTCTGTGTCTGTGTGTATGTGTGTTTGAGTGTGTCATCATGGTACAAGATTTACTTAGTTGGAACTACAATAAAAGCAGTTCCAGTACTTTGACAAGTGTTTATATGTCTGTCTGTCTGTCTGTCTGTCTGTCTGTGTGTCTGTCTGTCTGCTGCCTACCAATGGACAGATTTTGTTTGTCTAATCTGACACAACTGTGCAAGGTGTGCCATGAAACACTACAGGTGTGGAGCTGGGATCAAAGCGTTGAAGAAGGGTGTGGTCCGACAGATGCGACTGAGTACTCATGGGTAGAACTGTCAGCTCTGTTGGGCTCCCATGGTGCCTAGATAAATATACTGTCAATCATGTGCTCCGTCTCACATGGCTGTCCTGTCAGACTGAGTGTGGTCAGACACTGGGTTCCATAAGTCACTGCCTGGAGGTCTGCTGGAGCACAGCAACATACAGTTCCTGACCCCAAGCTCAACATTCAAGACTCAAGATTAATATCAAGCTTACATCCGCTAAATATTGACTCAAAGGATTACGCCGATGTTTGTTTGTGATATTTCTCACCATAGCAGACGTACACACGGTTATTTACATGAGGAGGGAAATATGCCTTCAGCGAAACAGAGGATCCTTAAAGAAAGTCAAAGGTGTTTGCAGTATTTTGATTCTTATGTCATACGCTGTTTTCTACAACTTCATGTAACAAACAGAGCGAGACAGCTGGGGCTCTAAAAGATAGTCAGAAAATGATTAAAGGCAAACTATATAATTTGCCAATTTTATGGCAATCCATCCGATATTTGTTGATGCAATATGTGGAGAGTTGTATTTCTTACTTTCTTCAAAGTCAGAGATTTGAATATATTTCCTTCGTATATGGTGACATTGTCTTTAAATTGCATGACTTGGGTCAAACGTTTTGGGTTTCCTTCCACAACCTTCTCACTGTAGTTTGCTAAATTTTAGGCCCATTCCTCCTGACAGAACTGGTATAACTGAGTCAGGTTTGTAAACTGCCCACAAGTTTTCTACGGTATTGAGATCAGGGCTTTGTGATGGCCACTCCAAAACATTGACTTTGTTGTCCTGAAGCCTCTGTAACTAATTTGGCCACATGTTTAGGGTCATTGTCCATTTGAAGACCCATTTGGCCCAAGCTTTAATTTCCTGGCTGATAGACATGTTGTTTCAATATTTCCACATAATATTCTTTCCTCATGATGTCATCTATTTTGTGAAGTGCATCAGTCCCTCCTGCAGCAAAACACCCCCACAACATGATGCTACCACCCCCATACTTCACAGTTGGGATGGTGTTCTCAGGCTTTTTTTTTTTGTAACGGTGGTCATTATGGCCAAACAGTTCAGTTTTCGTGTCATCAGACTACAGGACATGTCTCCAGAAATGAAGGTCTTTGTCTCTGTGTGCATTTGCAAACTGTAATCTGACTTTTTTATGTTGCTTTTTGGAGAAATGTCTTCTTCCTCTCTGAGTAGCCTTTCAGCTCATGTCGGTACAGGACTGGTTTCACTGTGGATAATGATACTCTCTTATCCGCCTCAGCAGCATCTTCACAAGGTGTTCTGCTTTTGTTCTGAGGTTGATATGCACATTTCACACCACAACAGGTTCATCTCTGGGACACAGAACCCATCTCCTTCCTGAGCGATATGATGACTAAACATGGTGTTTATACTTGTGTATAATTGTTTGAACAGATGAACGTGGAACCTTCAGGCATCTGGAAATTGTACCCAAGGATGAAGCAGATTTGTGGAGGTCCACAATTCTCTTCCTGATATCTTGACTGATTTCTTTAGATTTCCCCATGTTGTCGCAAAAGGAAGCAGTGTGTTTGAGGTGTGCCTTAAAATACATCCACAGGTGTGCCTGCACTTAACTTAGATGTTGTCAGTTAAGCTATCAAAAGCTTCCAAAGCCATGACATCATTACCGAGCATTCCCAAATAGAAGAAAGTAATAAAAAGCTCTCTCTCATTATTCTGGCAACTGTTGCCTCGCAGCAAGATGGTCACCGGTCCGTGTCCTGGTGGAGTTTGCATGTTCTCCCCGTGCAGCGTGGGTTCTCTCCGGGTTCTCTGGCTTCCTCCCACACAGTCCAAAAACATGCTGAGGTTAATTGGTGATTCTAAATTGTCCGCAGGTGTGAATGTGAGTGTGCTTGGTTGTCTGTCGATAAGTGTAGCCCTGTGATAGACTGGTGACCTGTCCAGGGTGTCCCCTACCTTCACCCTAAGTCAGTTGGGATAGACTCCAGCCCCCCCACAACCCTAATGAGGATTAAGCGGTGTATAGATGATGGATGGATGGATAGTTCTTTTTGCATGTAGTCTAAGGTTACAAGTGGTTACATTTTCACTCACAGAAAAAGAGATAAATATCACATGGATTAAACTTTCATCAAATATATTCCCCGCACTGCTGTTTGTACCTGTATGTTTCTTGTAATAAATAAATAAATAAATAAATAAATAAATAAAGGGAACTTTTAAAAAACAAACAAACAAACAAAAAAACATAGCGATACAGAAAAGGCCATGGAGATTGTTCTTTGTCGGTTTACAGTCATTTTTTCTAAATAATGTGGTTTTAGTTGAAGTTTAAATAACTATCCACTGTTGTAGGACGCCATGCACGACTGACGCAATAACAAATAATAATTGCGTGATAAGTCCACCAGTAAGAACAGCTACTCGTCGTCAAAAAAAGCACCGTCCAACATGGGAGGTTGGAATTTCCGAGGGGAGAGTGAAGGCAGCACTGATCCTGGTACCTGCTCATCACTGAGCTGCTTCATTTGAGAGCCGCCGCCGCTGGGCTGGCAGTGGCGTTCCTGTGCTGAGGATAACTCTGGTTTTTGACTCTTTCACTTTCAGAAGCGCGTTTCTATTCATCCCTACACAGTTCTCTGGATGCGAGACAGTCCAGCCCTAAACATGAGCAGTTTGCGGCCGTGTAAGGAGCCGTTTGGTGAGTAAAACATGACAAAAGCTACCGTCGCTCATTCACTCTGTCATCTAACGTTAACGGTGCAGCTCAAGAGTTTATATCAGACTTCTTTTGTCAAGCTCACTACTGTAAAATACATTTTTGCTTTTCAAAATAGTTTTATTTTATTGTTTTTTTCCCCTGTCCCGAATAGATACATTTAGAAAACTATTTAATTAGTTTAAATTAATTATTGCGTCATTTGACAGGGGAAGAACAGCAGGCGCTTCTTGGTTAACCACAAACGATCAAGTTTCCACGCTTTAAAAATTCCCTCCTCGGCTCATGGAAACCCCGCTGACCTTTGCTCAGTCCGGTGAACCTGCGGCTCACTGTGGAGCACTCAGGGGTTGCAAAATGTTCTTGTCGGACCCTCTTAGTCGACAAACCAGGAAATATAACATCACATTTTTGCTATTTAAAAAAACGAAGAAGCAAACGCGTGTCTTTGTGTGTCCGAGCAGCACTTGCGTCAATTTGTGCCTTTTGTCTGTCAGTAAAATTAGCACACACAAAAAACAACAACAAAAACTCCTAAACTGAATTTAGTAAAACTTGATGAAGAGGTCGAGAGGATATTTCATTAAAACGGCAAGATCAAGCATTTGTCTTGGTGGAGGTTGTTGATCGACAAGGTCTTTGTCTGAGAAGGTGAAACGCTGCCATATCCAGTCCAACTACAAAGACTAGTTTTACTCAATTACCAATATTTATAGATCACCTAGAGGCACACTCACACTCAGACAAGGTCAATGTCTTATCACACAGTTTTAACTAAAGTGCTTCAGATCCACACCTAAATGTAAAGGCTCTTCTGTCCTGCCCATGCTCCACCTCTCCACCACATTTCATGAAAGTTTTTGCATAGTCTGGCTCACAGACCCCACCCTTCCCGACTTTCATCTTATGGCTTTATCCATCCATCCATCCGTTATCTATACACCTCCTAATCCTCACTGGGGTCACGGGGGACACACACTCTGGACAGGTCACCAGTCTATCACAGGGCTGCACTTATCGACAGACAACCAAGCACACTCACATTCACACCTACGGACAATTTAGAATCACCAATTAACCTCAACGTGTTTTTGGACTGTGGGAGGAAGCTGGAGAACCCACGCTGCACGAGGAGAACATGCAAACATGCAAACTGGTGACCTTCTAGCTGCTAACCACCGAGCCACCTTGCAGCCCCTTATGGCATTATGCATCTACATATACATGACAACATTAAAACCACTAGCCTAATACTCTGTAGGACCTGCTGGGGCCTGGACACAGGGTCTCTGGAGGAATCCTGTGGTGTCTGACACCAGGGGATGCTTTGGTTGCTGTGGGCTGGACATGGGGCCACTGTGGATCAGGCCTGTTTGGCAACGTTTTGTGGATGCCTGATCAGTTTGTGCTGTAGGAAGTGTGTAGGCCGGGTCTTTGTCGTGTTCTTCGAGTCATTCCTGCTTTTGCTTTGTGGTGGGGCACACTAGCCTGCTGCCAAGGCTGTTGCATTAGAGGTGGGAGTGGAGGAGTGCTCGGTCTGCAACAGCGTGTAGGTGGTTGGTACGTGCAAAAGTAACATCCACATGAACGGTGGAGATAAGCTTTTTCTAGCAGAACGTTGCTTTACATGGCAGTGGTTTTATTGTTGTGGCTCTTTGGTGTATATTATTGTCTCATTGTGTGTTATTGTGTCATACTAGGACAGTATTGCCATACCCTGCAGTTAAAGATGATCATAGTTCTGATTTCATTAATAACTGAACTTAAAGAATGAGTGTTTTCATACAAGGCGTGTTTGAGTTGCCAACAGCAGGGAAGTGTGTGTGTGTGTGTGTGTGTGTTTGCAGCTGTCTGCTTCCACTCCTTGAAGGCATAGTGATCATGCCAACATATTTACCTGAATGAAACTAGCATAAGGAGGAGGAGCATTCAGCAAATCTGCAGAAGCTCAAAGACCCACCAGGGTGTTTGCTGTTTGTTCCGGTGAACATGAATGTAACTTGTTTTGTTTACTTTGAAACTCTGTCGTGCAGCTTTAAGTGTGTTCACAGGTTATATTTTCAGTTCAAGACTGGTTCATAAATTCATTAAATAAAGGTATGTTTAAAGCTATTAGTTATTTTAAGATAAGCAGTGTGACTCTGCAGATGAGGACATCAAGTATGAACCTGCCATTTCCACCATGTTTTTCATGGAGTTTGTCTCCTCCCCTTCTCCCATCTGCATGTTAATCCTGTCTCAATCTCTTTCACTATGGGAAACAACCACAACAACAACATTCAAGCCGCAAGCGACATGCTGAAAATAGCTAGTTCTGATGATGATTTGGATCATGTAATAAGGAAGCCTGCTTGGTTTTTTTAGTGACAGTGCTCATCTCAGTGTATGCAAACAGTCCACAGAAAAAATTCCCCTGCTGCATCCTGAGCTTAGCAACACCCAAGATGATTATGATTGTTTAACAAGCCAGAGTGTTTTCCTCCAATAGCAGAATGTTGAGGTTCTTCCAGATCATTTTTCAGTGCTGACACAGCGCTGTGGAGATAGGTCTGACCTTAGAAGACAACTGGATCGATAACTTAATAGGCTTTGAAATAGATATCACAAAAAAAAAAAAATAATAATTTCCATGTCACCAATTTTGTGTGATGTTTATGTCTTGGCTGATTTTCCTTACAAGAACTTTTCAGACAGTGGACACATAGCAATGCTGCTTCATCAGTCTGTTAAAGTGACAGCGTTCTTGACTTCAGACATGGGCCACCTTTATGTTAATGTTGCTGAGAGTTTCATTCAGACCAACCCTTCACTGTGACAGAGCAGGCCACAGTGCACGTTGATACTTGGCATTCATGCAAGATTGTACAGTACATCAAGTGATGCATAGTACGCAATAATGCACTAATGTACAAAAGAACTCATCTAAATTAGTGATGGCTTATTTCACTGTTGATAACTGGGAAAATGTGTTATTACTTGATGAGCACTCTAGAAAAATCCCATGCTGCTCTGGCAATGTCCCTGCATGCAGCTCAGATTTCCTCCATGTTGAGATTGATCATTCAGCCATGAAGCCGACGTGTTAATATGCCGCCAGGTTAATGGAAAGGAGCGCTCGTCTGAAAGAAGTCACACTTGTTCATTTTTACGTTTCTCACCATGTGTTTTTTCATCCCTGTTTACGTCAAAACTCCTGTTTTGACCTTGAACTTTGCAACACAGCGGTTGGAAACTGTTAAGCTTGACCTAAATAGCTTTCTAGGGTTGATGTGACCTTTCAGAGGGCGATACTAGTCATTTGGTTTAAAGTTGCTCTGTCTTGTGAAACTTGAAGGATTATTTAAAGGTTTGTTCACCCAAATTACACAAAATGCTATTCTATCATTGTATGTAGTCATAGAAATTTCTCTTTTTTTTTAGAAATATGTGTCTATAGAGTTTAAACAGCAACAGCAAAAAACAGCAATATTTTATTGCTCCATATGGTCACTCTTCTTGATTTTCTAATTTCTGCATGTCTTGTTTTTCATGTTTGGCCCCTACATGTGTTGCTGGGGCCCTATAGGCTGATTGTGCCGATGACAGATGATTTACAACAGATACGTTTTGACTTAGCAGGTTGTCAATGTCATCGAGTGCTGTATTCCCCTATTGTTGTCTTTAAATGCTCAAATTTGAATGAACTAATGAAGTATACAGTTGGCTTAGATAAGGACACATCATGATGAAGGAGGATAAATAAAGGAATTTTAGAAGTATTGAAGTCAAATGTCCAAATCATGTGCACTGTGTATGGACAACTTTCAGAATTTTAAAACATGTTATCGGTCTAAAACTGAATGTCAGAAACATTTTAGGTTGCTCATCATGTGACATCTTCCTCAGGTCAGTAAATCCCCACAATGATCAAACAGCGAGGAGCTCTGTGGGACTTCATAGGCAGTCCAGTCTTTGTTCGATACTAGTCTGTAGAGAATCAGGAAATTATTTATTGACAGAAACAAAGTCGTTGGTTAGAAACTCTGACTAAACCATTCATAAACCCGACACTCAGAGTTTAGGCGGGATGCGAAAGAAGGGAAAGTGTTGTCTACATATGATTCACATGAAACAACACAGATTGGAACATATGCCTGTATCAATATCACTGTCTATTTCATTTCTGTTTTCAGTTGGTAACAAAAGAGAGCCAGCAGTATTGCAAAAACACCGTCGAACAGATGAAGCTGATCGTCTCCTGCGCATTTTGATCCTCTTTCATTCTCACTACCACATATGCATCAAAGACATTATGCTCTCTAGCACCTGCCTTCTCATCTTAGAAACAAGCATGATCTCATGGCATGTGTATCTGCATGTGCACAAACACTGTTCACACCAACTATATAATTTCCTTTTGGTTCATGTGTAAGCAGCTTTGTTTTTCCTGCCTGTAGTTACCTAAACCACCCTCACACACACCCTGTGTTTGACACAGGATAATGAACATGTGTTTAGTCACACTGTGGGTTAATGGCTGTTTGTCTGCAATCCTATATGATCCGAATATACACCGTAGTTCCCTTCACCATTACTAAACTGTAATTTACAGCAGATCACGAGTAAATCTATACGATAAGCCAGGATATGGAGCTTTAGTTCATTTAAAAGTGGCTGCAAGCAGCGTTTGAACTACAGATTTGAGACAGTTAGGGTGAGGTTTTTTTTGTAACTGTGTTGATATTTTTTTTTTCCCTTTATTTTAATACCACCTGAAAAAGATCATGTAAACTGCTTGTTTTTGTGATTTAATAGGACTAGATCTGTTTTTGCCCTTTCCTACTAAAGCTGAGCAAAACCACAGCTGCAAAACTGAGTCTGGCAGCACAAAGTGACGTATTTACATTGAAGGCAGCTGTGGGTGTGCAGCCAGTCAGATGTCACATCTGTAGATTTAGATTGTAATCGGTAGAATAAGATGAATCATTAATTTCCTAAAAGAT